GATTTGCATGATTGTTACGGCGTTGGATTCAGGAAGCATGTCGCCATCGCGCTATAAAGCCACATTTTAAAATTTGTTCTCGGAAGTTTGAGAACTAATTTCAAATTCGAGATTTTTCTAGATTTTTGAAAAAATGGCTTCGTAGCGTAAATTCTATTTTAAAAAGGCGTCAAATGCCATTTACAGATCGAAAATAGGTCCATTGGTTCAGACTTTATCGGTAAAGTAAATTTTACTTATTTTGGTGCTGCCACGCGCCGCAAAACGGCAATTTTTCAACAGGAAAACTCTTGTTGCCGGGACTTGGTAACGAAAAAGTTGATAAATATTATTTTCCTAGGGAGAAAATTAGACTTCCTCTTAAACACTGTGTATTCAGAATCCATGTTTTATGTGTCCCTGATATCGTTAAATCTATTGACGGCAAAACGTCTTGTGTGTCTTTTCGTCTGTCATCAGTGCTAGCGCCTAAAACAACAAACGATTTTCTCCAAAACTGACATTCCCAGATCTATTTAAAAGAACCCGGTGTCCTGCGAAACGGATATTTTGATTTCAAGGATTACTTCACATGAAGACTTAAAAACATTTTCAAAGTTTCCCCAAAAGTGCTTCCATTTTTTTTTTTTTTTTTTTTTTTTTTTTTTTTTTTTTTTTTTAATCTTGAAATATGGTCATCAACAATGGCGCACCGGGGCCATCCTTCACAACGCCAATATTTTTGTAACTTTACTCAGAATCATTAGTACCGTATGTACGTGTGTGTGAAGCCTTCTTTCCATTATGGATACATTGAATTGTTTTTGTTTATTTCATGCTAACAATTACAAAAAACATTAGTACCTTAAACTATTTAGCTAAAGGTCTGAATCCTCCCTCTGAAATATTTTCTGGATCTGCTCCTGACATCAGTGGCTGTAGATTTGAGGTAAAGTGAGAGTATAAAAAGGCCGATATTTCAGACACAATGGAATGGATGTGTTTGGATTGTGATGTTTGTCATGTAAGAATAAAGTGTATTGGTGATAAAGTAGGTAAGTTTGAATATCAATGTATGAAAGATTTAGATGATGGTAGGAATATTTTCTGTCAGTAAGTATTTTTAGCGAAGAGAGTAAATCCTAATTTGTTTGTTTCTTGAATATCTTTGTTGTGCAATTTGATTTTGTGTCTGAATGAGTGGTACTTGAAGATAATATATTTATTATATAAGTAACTTCTTTGTAGTGTTCTATGTAAACTAAATCACAAAAATTATTAATTACCCTATTTTTAATACATACATCTGTAGAATCAGCAAATTATTATATTTGATGAAAAAAAATTTATACTTTAATAATTGATGTACCACTCCTGTTGGTATTGTTTCACTACCTACCTGTATTACAGAACAATCTTCAGTCATGAAATTGTTCAAGTAATTTCAGTACAATTATTATTATTATATTTACAATTTACATGAAAACATCAATTGATGTTTAAATTTGTTTGGTTACAAACTTTATTTTACATAAATATGAAAAATACATTGTTACATGAAATAAATTGTAACATTTTCTATATGATATAGACTGTTGATTAAGAACAAACAAAATTACATTACACAAATTTATATCTGGATAACTTTAAAATATTACAATATATATTAACAATAAATAATTTTTTAAAACTGTTATTCATGAGAGAGAAAAGAGGAAGACAAATAAGAAGAAAAAAATATCAATGAACTGTAACAAATCAATGAACTGTACTTTCAATATTTTTGCTTCAGAATGTGTTCCCATGTTGTGTCTTGCAGTGTTTCATCATGTCTCCTTTCTGTGTGAAATGACGCCCACAAATTGCACAACCGTATGGTTTTTCACCAGTGTGAATTCGTTTATGCACATTCAAGCCATTAATTCGTCGAAATCCTTTACTGCAGTAATCACACCGATAAGGGCGTTGGCCAGTATGGATGAGAAGGTGTTGTCGATGATCATGGCTTGTGCGAAAGGCCTTGCCACAGTAAGTGCACTGGTATGGACGCTCACCAGTATGGCAGCGCCTATGGTTGTCACGATCATGTTTCAGACGAAATTTTTTTCCACATAGATCACATGCATATGGTTTTTCTCCTGTATGAACCCTTCGATGTGTATAGAGCCCAGAGTTCTGAGTGAATCCCTTTCCACATACATCACAAATATATGGCTTAACACCTAAAAATAAACAATAGTGAATTACTAATTTTATAATTTATTATGAACATATTAAGATTATATCATTTTTTTTAAATATATGTAAATTCAATAAAAGAAGTATATACAAGAATTTTTTGTTTGGTTTGTGAAGCTTAAAAAAAAACTGACCTGTATGCTTAAGAAAATGTTTGTTATAAGTACTCTTCAGTCTGAAGGTCTCCCCACAAATTTCACATGTATAAGGTTGACCCTTCAAATGAATTCTTTGATGAAGTGCAAGAGTCGAATGATGATGAAATGTTTTCTGACAATAATCACAAAGGTACTCCTTTTCAAAAACCTCTGAATCTGTTTTCACTTGAGCAGGATGAATCTTCCTGTGATCTTGATATTCAGCATACAAATTAAAGGATTCATTACATATTTTACAAGTATAAGAGTGAGTGTTTTGGTGACAATTCCTTCGATGATTGTTTAGAGAATTCCATTGTGTATAACATTTTTCACATTCTTGACACACAAATAATTTTACAACACTTAAAATGTCAGCAGAATTTGTTGCGTTTGATTTATTTTGTTCATTATGTAATGATTTGTGCTTTGAGAGTCTTCCGTAACTAGTGAATGTTGAATTACAAGTCTTACATACATAACGACTGTCTTTGTTATGTGTAAAATAGTGTTGATACAAGAGAGATTTTACCATGAAACAACTTTCACAATATTCACACATATACAGTTGAGAAATATGTACTTCTTCAATTTCATGGTTTTGTTCATAATTATTTGGAAGATGAGTTGAAATATGAGTCACTGAGTCATTAAGGTTTGTATATGTCTCATGACATGTATTACATTTGTAACAGGGTTGAAGTGGGATTAACTTAGGATGTTGAGATAATAAATGTTGCTGAAGAGAAATTTGAGTGGTAAATGTCAGACTACAAAAAACACACTGTAATGATGATAAATTCACATGGGAAGCATAATGATATTGTAATACAAACTGATTTTGAAATTTTTCATCACAGATTTCACATGCATATTGAGGACTACTATCTGGATGAGCTGTTTGCATGTGTGATGTAAAATCAGATTTTTCTGAAAAGCTGTCCATGCAGTATTGACAAGAAAGCTTCACTTTACTTTGTATTTTCACACTTGACTCAAGTTCTTCAGGGACAATATATTTTTTATTATCGGTAACAATTGCCTGAAATCCATTAGGATTTGTATCACATGGAAAGGTATCTGATGTTTCTTCGACAATATCATCAACATTATCACATTTTTCATATTGTTTATAAGGACAAGCATGCACACTAAAAGCTGCAAGTGTTTCAAAGAGTTGATTACAGTCTTGACATAGAAAGTGATCATGTACTTGTAATTGTGTGTTAAGAATATGCTGTCTAATATGATCTAGCCAGTGATCTTCACAATCAAACTGAAAATGACAAATATGACATGTTTTCTGAGATGGAAAATGGCCTTTACAGTGGTCAATGCAAGTCTCAGTACTAGAGAATGTTTTATTACATATTTGACACAATACAACATTACTCTCTTTGCTTGATTCATTCTTCTTATTTTCTCTTATGTTTTCATTACGACAAGCTTGAGCTGTCAGATCAGTGTTGGAGTTTTCATCTTGAAAATCAATGCTTGTAACATCAACTATCTTACTTTCCCATATTTCATTAGTATTACTAAGATCACATTGTATTTCTGATTCATTGTTTGATTCTAATAACTCAATAGAGTTATTAAAAGATGATGATGAAGAAGAGCCAATGTTAGTTTTTTCTGCATTTTTTCCTAAATGTATATTACTGTCCAATTTCTCTTTGTAAGAATTTTCCATTACTTTCTCTGTTTTTTGATAGGTCACTGTCATTTTACCATCACAACAAAGAGGACATGGTAATATGCTGTTGTTAGACATTAGTAGCATAGGTTTGTAATTGTCTGTAAATATTTCAGTGCTATCATTAAATGACTGAGTCACTGCTTTATCTACGTTAATTATGTTGTTATTTAATAAAGTAACGTCTGATTTAATACTCCGTGATCTGAAAATGAAAATAAACAATTGAATGAATGAGCAAAATTGTATATGAAGACAAATGTCAGTTTGTACCTTTCACTAACTTGTTGCAATATTTTAGTCACTTATCAAATGTATTACATCAAAATAGCAAATGAGAAAGTTCTGGGTTTTTATACATTTCAAACAAGAACTAGTGGTGCTAGAGAATGGCACAGACTTTCCCAAATTATTTTTCTATTTCCTTTCGTCTTGGCTAGTTATAAGAACTTGCCACATTCTGTTGCCAACTGCAATCTAGAGACAATTAAAATACATTTTTTTAAAAATTTTGTTAGTTTTTTGGTTTCCTAATAATAGAACAAAAATAATATTTTATGGTTTATAATGTTATGTACTTATTTACAAAAGTAAATTTATGGTTATTTTAAAAAACAGTAAAACCTCATTCTGAATTGAAATTTTCTTTGAAACATTTGCAGCCGTTTTTAAGAGAATGGCATTTAAACTCTAATGTAAATTCGAAATTTGAACCTATTTTTCACAGGAAACTATTGACATTCCGAAAATCTTCAGATGAAGTAGTATATGTTAGTGTTGACTAATCGCTTGCAATCTGCAAATTAAAGACGTGGGAGATCTTCCAAAAAAATATATTAGTGTAATTTTTGGAAAAACAAAAAGAAAATACCCCAAAATAAACTTTACCTTATATTGAATAGTGCAATTAGCACTATCCCTTCAAAAAGTTTGAAGAAAAAATTTGGAGCCGTTTTTTTTGAGAAAATGGCGTTTGAGCGTTTCTGAAAATTCGGAATTTTTAGCTAGTTTTCACAGAAAATGGTTGAGTTTTCGAGAAACTTTATGCACATGTACTCATTAATACAGTAATGTGAACAAATTGCCGCTAATGTAAATATTAACGATGTGAGATTCAGGTTAAAAAACTACATTTTTTAAATTTTGAAAACAAACAAAAGAATAGAGCAATATGGCGATTACGTCATCTTATACATTCCTATATAGTACTATCCCTTCCAAAAGTTTAAAGAAAAAAATTTGATCCGTTTGTGTAAAAATATTGTTTTTGTAATTTTTTAATATTGCACGTAATATTGTGCGAAGACTATAAAATTTTCAAAAAATGGGTATGACCGTAATGAAAGACCTCACTATGGAGAACAAATTTTAATTAAAGGAAAAAGCTATATCTTTAATTTTGAAGTTGTAAGAAGATACCGGAAAATCGGACTTATGCAACGTTTATAAGTGAATCTCTATTCTTACAAGAAATTTAAAGAAGAAAATTAGAGCCATTTTGAGAAAATTTTGAAAATGTTCGGAGAGCTTCATGTAAAGTATCTCCAAATTTTAAAGAATGTTTTTCAAAATCTCAAAGTTTCGCCTCGAGCTAGATGGACAGGGGTTTCTTCAATTGGGAAAACATCCTACGCATGATTTAGATGCTAGTTGTGTTGACAGACGGACAAGCATATGCACAGAGACGGACGTTTTGAAAAGAACCACTTTTTCGGTTTTAGGGGACCCCAAAACGTGTATTTCCGTCGAAATCGCGACGGAAATCGGTTATGGAGTATATACGTACGTATACGGGGAACTAAAAATGAACTCTACTTTCTTGTATTCATTTACAAAGTAATATACATGTCATATGAGGAAGTTATGTATTGCCCGCGATATATTAATGAAAATACACTTTTTGGGAACCAATCATACTGCAAAAGTGTCATTTTCAAGTTGTCAGTCCGTCTGTTTTTCTGTTAACCGTTAGTAGGATTTTCTGAAAAATTGATATTCCTTAATCGATCTGGCTGATGTCACAGCCCCTTGAATTTGAAACCGATATTTCAACTTTTGCGGGTACTTTACATGAAGATCCTGGGACATTTTCTAAATTTCCCCAAAAAAATAGCACCACATTTTTCAATGCAATTTTGACCTCGGATAACGTAAATAGCGCTAAAAGAATGGTGAAGGTCTCATTTTCGTTAAAATTCCAGATTTTTCGAAAATTACAAAGATTTTTTTTTCAAGTTCCTACAATTATGAAGACACATTTTTTTAAAATGAAAAGTGTTCATCAGGAACATCTTCAAATAAGGTCATGTTCAATTTTTCGAAAATATGAGTATTTTTTGTGTATTCTTGCGTGAAGCATAGGAAGTTTTAAATTTTTCAACAATTATTTTCTCAGAGACGGCTCCAAGTTTCACTTCAAATATTTTATACGTATGCAGTAATGATAAAGAAAGAGGTGTTGGTCCCATTTTCGGCGCACTTTCTTTATTTTTGAAAATTCGACGTAGTGAATTTCAATTTGACAGCAAGGATCCCTAGGGACTGCAGACCCTTCCGTTCGGTTCGCGCGTGTTCGTTGAACATCGGTTATACATATATACATACATACACACACACTCAGCACTATATATTTACTATATGATAATATATATATATATATATATATATATATTATATATATACATACTTGTTTAGTGTCTGTGTTTTCTATTATAATATTGATAATTCGCATCGAATAATAGAGCGTCGCGTGTTACATTTTTTTCTTCGTATGTTGTCCAGTGTACAAAGACAACTGCGGAGTCGGAAACTACAAATTTTTGAAAAATTGTATTATTTCAAAATCTATCTTTACGGAACAGATTTCATTAAGGGAAAATATATGTATCCTCATAATTGTAATTGTAGGAAGGCGCCGATTTTTAAATTTTGCAATTTTCGAAAAATGTGTGTTTTAAACGAACATGAGACTTGCACCATTCACTTAAACGTCATTCACACTATCCAACATTAACATTTAATCAAAAACGATGGAGCATTTCTTAGAAAATTTTAAAAATGTACCAGGGGCTTCATGTAAAGTACCCTTCAAAATTAAAATACCGGTTTCAAATTCAAGAGACCTCGACTTCAGCCAGATCGATTGGAGAAAATCGGCTGAACGGTTTATGCGCTAGCGTTGTGCACAAACGGACGGACAGATAGACGTTTTGCCGTCAATCGATTTATCGGTATGAAGGTCCCCAAAACGTGGATTTGTGCTACACCATGTGTTGGAGTATTTTTTTCTACATTTAGCAAATTAAATTCATCCACTTTTTGGTTACCAGGGCTATGTAATAAGCGTTTTTCTGTGGAAAATTCGCAGTTTTTCGCGGACCATTACATAGCTTTCTCTGCATTACGTAAGCGGTAGCGGGAAAGTAAAACATAAGATCAGTTTTTGAGAAAATGTTTTAAGTTTGCATTAATTTCAATCAGAAATTGAGTAAAAGCGACTCGTTTCTTTAAAAAAAATGTATTTGACCTTTTTTAAATTGCTGATTTTTGCGTGCAGATATTGTTTAGGACAAAAATCTATCTTCAATTTTGTAGTTTTGAAATGTTAACTTTTTGCAATTTTGAAAAGTACAAAGAGTTCTTTGAAAATGGGAGTAGCACCAGATTTTTACCGACCTTTGATACATACGAGGATAAAATTAAGAAAAAATTGGTGCTGTTTTAGAGAAAAAATGTTTACAAAAGTTAAAAACTGCCTATATTTCTTGCCAATTATTCCTGCCAATTGCCACTATTAGAATAGTCACTTTATGGCTAAATGTGAATAGAAGTTTTGTTACTAGAAGCAGTAGCGTTTACGGGCAACAGAACTTAAAATTTTATTTATATTTATTGATTTCATTATTGTTCAAACTGCCATTCTCTTATTGCGGCCGATATGAACTCAGCTGCGGTCACAATTACAAGGAAATGTGGACTTACAGGCCTGATTTTCAAAAAAAAACCTACATCAGCACATACTTCTCGCTTTCTTTGTAACATATTCGTAATACTCGTAATACAATATTGCAAATTGTAACCAATTCACTCCTTAGCATTCGTATAAAAGACTCTCTTCAACAACAAAAAAGCGCAGAAAATTTGAATTTCCAAATACCAAAAGTTTACAAATTTTAATGTATATTAATCGGAAAGCACGTTAAAAATGCTCCTTGTAATGCCGGCATTCAAAAAGAGCTTTGTTCACACTGATGTGTTAGAGGAAGTAATACAGTAGAGGATATACAAAACATTATCCACTGATTCGTTACTAGGACTCCACAATACGATTTTTTTCTGGGAAAAATTGCCGATATCTTTCGCAGCAATACAAACTTTTTCTTCACAACGTACGTACTTAGAAAAGAAAAAGTATTATACGACGAGAAAATAAAAATTAGTGTGAGAAAAGAAAATCTGATGTACGTTTGCTCAGAAAATGAGAGATAATGAGATACAGGAATTCGGCGAATGGAAGAGAGAAAGGATAAGGGAGTGTAAGAAAGAGAGAAAGAGAGAGAGAGAGAGAGAGAGAGAGAGAGAGAGAGAGAGAGAGAGAGAGGACAATCGGAAAGAAACGTGAGATGAGAAAGAAAATCGGCGAGGGGAAGAAAGGCAAAGGGAGAGCGAGAAAGACAGAGAGATAGACTGGGGTGAGAGACAAAGGGGAAAGAGAGAAGAGAGGAAAGAGAAATTGAGAGGAGAGAGAGAAAAAAGAGATGAGAGAGAAGGCGAGAAAGGAAGGTAAGGCAGATGAGAAGGAGGATAGAAGAGAGAGGAACAGGAGAGGCAGAAAGAGGAGAAGGTGAGAGATCTTGGTTATATAATTCCATTTATTGATTATCGCTTTTTGATATAAATTTCTTAAACTCACTTCAAAATCTTTGGTTCCATGTTTCTCTTGAGTTGTTCTTCAGCTTTTAAGCAATTTTCTGCAAAATCACTTATGATGTGTAGTTTGTTTATGCAATTAATGCATAATTGTTTCGGCAGAACATCAGATTTATTTACCTGTTCAAAAAATGTATTAAAGATAATAAATAAGCATGTTTCTAGAAGAGGGCTTCAAAATACATGTGTTATTTAATATGGAGGAGGAACAATATTATTTTTGATATGAAAAATGATTTTGAAATGTGAACAAAGAATAAAGGAAAATTATGTTAATTCTTGCTCTGGTGTAATATGCTTTCGATATATTTTGGTGTGTTTTATGAAATAACTAGGGCCGGATTTTTATGCAATTGCCTATTTCCTCTGGTTAATCGTATAAGTTTGAGGTTCGGTTTTCTTTCTGAACGGGAGTTCCTAAATGCTTATTGCAACTGTATATTTTGCATACTTGAACTATACTGCATAAAATTGCGTTTTCATGGTTATGCTAGATTACGCACATCTTACAATAAATAATACATAAAATTGCAAATTTCAAGGATGATTTATTATTTCCATCGTTTGGATTGTTTCTTCTGTAGGTGAAAATATTTAATAGTGAATATTAAGTTATTCTGATTACGACTTCTCTTAATTTATTTTTCTTTCATCCCCTTGAATACTAGAATTGCAAAGGAATGATTCGCAGAATTGAGAAACGACAACATAAGCGAACAATGCCTTAAATCACAGTCTTGCTTCCTGCTTAAATGAAAGAGAAAACCATCAAATTATATTCTTTGAACATCAATGCTCTAGTATCACTCGCTTCTTATCTAAATGCAAACTTCTCTTAGTGAAGATATCCAAATATTAAATTTTAAAAAAATAGTGAAGGGTTGTTCCGAGACCCGCATTTGCCCGAGGATGACCAAGTAAAAGACTTGGAAAAGTATGTAACATTGTACCCATCAAAACCCTCGAAAGACAAAAGTCGAACGGAAGAAAAAATAGAGCTGCTTATGTACTGGCCTTTATCGCTTCTCTTTCTCATTTTGCCTTGAGTTCGCGATCAGTTGAAATCTGTTTGTTTGCCAGCACAAAGTGAAGCAGACATATTTTACTATCTCACACTTACTAACATAAGAGAAAGTATTATTATCGTGTGCCAGAAAACGGCGATATATATATTTATCTAATTTTTGCGAATTTATTACAACTTAAGAGTTGCCTATCGCATCCGCGCTTCCATTTGCTACGATCTTTCCCGTTGTTTCTTGCAGGTTTCTTCCGTCCATCGCTTTAGTTACTGCATCCTTCCAGAGTGTCCTCGGCCCCCCTCTTCGTCTTCTTCTTTCAGCAGGGATCCATTCGGTCTTTTTTTGGAAGGGAGGGGAGGCGGCCACCTTCCCTCATCCATTCGACGCACGTACCCATACCATCGAAGGCATTTTGTCTCCACAGTGTCTGCATTCCTTATTCTGTCCTGAATCGTGTGCTGACAACAACGTCGCCAATAACCCATTTCGGTTGCTCTTAATTTTTTCTTTAGTTGTTCTGTTGTTTTCTACACTTCTGCTCCGTAGGTAACAATGCTCTCTACAATAGACTTGTATATATACTTATCTTCGTGCATGGTCTTATTTATGTGCTCCACAAGTAAGTATTATGGAGCTGTTTAGGAACTTTTCTTATTCTTTCTATAATTTCAGCTTCACTTCTACCATTTTCGGTAAACGTTACTCCAAGGTACTTGAAGCTATCAACTCTTTTGATAATACCACCTTGAAGCATCAAATTTATTTTGCACTATCACCTCCAATATATTCAGTTTTAGAGGTATGGATTGTTAGCCCCTATTTCTGGTATTCTTCAAACAGTTTCCTCAGCGTGTAATGGATATTGTAATTTGCTGCCAATATCTGGTGGTCAGCAAAAAGCCAAGTGAACAGTCTATCAGTTGCCATATTCGCGTAAGTTCTCCTTCTTCTCTCCAGGGCAGATGTTAGATGAATTTTGAAGAGTGTGGGACTTTTTATTTATTTTAGCAGGTATTTGAGTTCATTAGATTCCAATTTTTTTGCATAATTTCACTTATTTTAGGGGCATACGAGGGCTGTTTAAAAAATACTCTGACGTCATAAAACAAAATGTACTTTCGTTACCCACTAGAGATCTAGATCCCCTTCAAAGTACTCTCCACCCCAACGCACACACTTATCCCAACGGTGTTTCCTCTGTTTGAAATAGTCATGGTATGCATCTTTTGTAACGCCCTTTAGTTACTTCGTCGCATTTGTCATACTCTCGGGAATCGTCTCAAATATTTTTTCTTTCAAGGGTCTTTTGAGTTTGGGGAACAAGTCACAAGGAGCAAGGTCAGGTGAGTTAGGAGGGTGGGGAAGAACAGTGATCGTGTGTTTGTCCAAAACCTCACGAGTTCTGGACGGGCTGGAGCGTTGTCATGATGAAAAAAAAAATATAATAATAATAATAATAATAATAATAATAATAAACATAATGTTCAATTCTGGTAGCAAACTACATAATTTTAACAATATTTTACTATTCTATGTTTAAACTTGAAATGGTGAGAGGGGAGGAAGGAGGGAGCAGGTTTTGCTTTTTTTTTTTCCTTTTTTTTCTTTCTTTCTTTCTTTCTTTCTTTCTTTCTTTCTTTCTTTCTATTTGCACACCTAGTCCTACTGCAGCATCTAATGCATCTAGCAAATCCAGAGAGAAACGAAATTTTTGTCAAGCATTCTCCTTCTATGTCGCAGGACATAATATGTCGGTTCTTTTTTCTTTGCTTCAACTCAAAACAGTCAACATAAAACAAAGTCAAATGGGATAAGATTTTTTTTATTTATATTTTTAAAGGAAATATTGTTATGTTTTGAATACTTCACACTGTAGAACATGTTGTTAAACAGGAAAGCTTTCAATTTACTTTTAAATGTATGAATTGTGTTTATGTCTTTAATATCATTGCCTAGTTTGTTGTAAAGTGTAATGCCCTCTATTAGGGTACTTTTTTGATAAAGTAGTTTCAGAGTGGGGAACATGTAGGTTATCCTTTTAACGAGTGGTGTAGTTGTGTACACCGAAACTTAGAGTAAAAGTGTCATTATTTTCCATGAGAATCTTCTTTGTGAAGACCACTATTTCAAATATATACATGCATTGTAGAGGAAGTATCCTTAGTTTATTAAACAAGGGTTTGCAAGACCCCAGCTTAAGAGTGCTGGTCATTGTTCGCAGTATTATTTTTTGGATAATAAATGTGCAAGTGCTTTCAGGAGCAGTTCCCCAGAATATTATTCCATATTTTAGGTGTGAGTGCACATTTGCGTAATACTTAGTTCAAAGGGTCTCAATGTTGGAACTTGACCTGACGGCGTATAGGACATAGCAAGATTTAGTGAGTTTCATAATAAGATTTGAGATGTGAGCATTTCATTTTAGGTTTTTCTTGAATTGTTAGACCAAGGAAGGGAGTTTCATGAGATATCATTACAGGGTTATTATTTATGAGCAAATGCTGTGAGAGTTTTCCTTTAGATTGGGGATTCATTAAATTTAGAGAGACTGTCTTGCTGGTGTTTTATGAAGAGTTTGTTGTCTTGAAACCATTTTACTAGTGCTTGCAAAGTTTTGTGAGTTTCTTTTTCTAATGATTGTTGTGGTTTTGCTTTGATAATTATGTTTGTATCATCTGCAAACAAAATTATTTTTTATTCCATAAATCCAAAGACATGTTATTGACGTATGTAAGGAATAGTATTGGCCCAAGGATGGATCCTTGCGAGACTCCACAATTTATCATTTGAGACCAGTAGTAGTATGAAGAGATTTTGTTTTCTTTAATGTGCTGCATGGCAACTATTTGGCTATGGTTTGATAAATATGATTTGATTCATTGGTTGCAATGCCTCGAATCCCTAGCATTTCTAGTTTTTTTAAGTATGTGATGGTCAATAATGTCAAAGGTTTTTGACAAATCTAAGAAAAGGCCAATGGGAATTTCCTTTTGATTTAGTGCAACAAGTATGTCGTTTAAAAAGGAGGAGATGGCTGTGTCTGTAGATCTATTACTCATGAAGCTACATTGTGCACTTGTATTGGCACTATTTGTATTGAGAAACTGTTTGAGTCAATCATTGAAAAGCCTTTCCAGAATTTTTGAAAATCCTGATAACAGGGAGATAGGTCTGTAGTTCTTTGGATCATAACTATTGCCCTTCTTACACATTGGTTTAATTTTGTCATTTTGAATATATCTGGGAATATGCCTGTTTTTAGATTGTGGTTGTATGAGAGAGTGGTTGCACTTTATAGGAAGCAGTGTGTTTGATAAGAAAATCTGTAATGTTGCTCAGGCCTGTTGAGAATTTATTCTCTATTTGTCCAATGATTTTAAAAATTTCAGAGGGAGTGGTTTCATATAAAAATATGGAATTTACAATTTGTGTAACACTAGTGTTTGGTTGGTGTGTTTTATTGTTTTGAGAGTGTTGAGAGATTAACTTTTTACTAATTTGTGAAAAGTGTTCATTGACTATATCTGCTATTTCTTCTGGGTCTTGTACAGTTTGGATTTTGTAGTGGATCTCTATATTTTCTCTGTTATTATTAGGTGGTGCTGTAGTCTTTTTAATAATGTCCCACATAGCTTTTGCTTTTATTACATGCATTTGCAATATACATTTGTCCTAATTATTGCTAGTTTGATTATGTTTTTTAAGATTGAATTATATGGTTTGTAATATGAAATGAAGTTTGAGATACATTTGTTATTTGTAATATTTTATACCTGTTACATTTTCTTTCACATGACACCTTGTTGCCTGTGGTAATCCACAATTTAGTTTTCTTTTTTTGGATCTTTTTGAGTTTTTGAGGAAAAGTGGCATTGAAATGTCTTAAGTATAAATTTATGAATAAATTTAACTTATCATTTGTATCAGTTGCTTCATGTACTTCATTCCAGTTTTAAAATCTAAGTAAGTTTTGAAATTTTATTGTTTCTTTGGGAATAGTTTCGAATTTCTTTGTAAGTTGTCTGTTCTGTTTGAAGTGTTAGAATCTGAGCAGTGTGGTCACTGAAACCTGTTTTAAATGTAGCAATAGAAAAACAATGGTTATTTGCATATATTATTATTTAGTAATTTCTTTTCTAAATCATCATGGCTTCAAATTTTTTCTTCAAACTTTTTGTATAGACAGTGCCAACAGAACAGGTTGGACAGTTGTACCAGTAGTGGGGACAGCAGGAACCTGCAGGGACGGCCCGCCCCATGAGGCAGCGGAAAAATTTCACAATAGATACCAATATAATAATATCTACCATTTCATTTCATATTTTTGTCAACCTATGATTTGGACCAATTGAAATGGGCATGAGATCTTTTATGATTCTGAGACTACTTCTTTAAAAATATATAATAATGATGAAATTGTCTTTTAAAAATGAATAAAGACGAAAGCTGTTTTCTTCGTTAGAATATCTTTAGAAATTCATGAGCCTTCCCAGCAGCTACAAAATTTGATGCATATGTTTGCTTATTTAATGCCAGTCATATTTCTAGATTCAGATCCAATATATAAACTAGAAGACAATGCATCTGCCGAAATTGACGAGTAGGACTCCAAGCTAGAACTCCTTCAACTGTGGGCTTTCATTACCGCCATAGGCAACAAAAATAAATTAATTAATGTGGACCTAATTGAATTATTAAAATTAATTGTGAAGTCACAGGTGGATGATATTCTGACCAATATTACAATAATGCTCCAAAAAATCCTCACAATTACCACTATCAATGTCAATTGTGAGAGAGGTGTTTCAGAACTGAAATTGATTGAATTCATTTAAGATCAACAATGAGTACTTTATGGCCAACCAATCTGGATATTTTGTCTATTGAGCAAGAGGTATGAGATGCTATAGGCATCGATAGTGCTATAGAATAATTTGCTCTTAAAAAAGGAGACAAATAAGTTTTAGTTAAAGACGAAAGTTTTGTGTTTTATTCTAACAATTATATTATTGTTCAATAAAAATATAAATAGTATCAGTATCACCCTAGTTCTAATTGGAAGTTAATGTGTGCTTTATATTCAGTTTGCTAATAACTTATTCTTTTCAATCGCCAAGGTATAATTATAAGCTTGTGTTACATCAATGTGAGTGGCATACCTGTAAGAATTTTTGTAATAAATGTGATTATTATATTGTAAAACATATATACATGACTTTTTTATTTGTAACTTGTACAGTACACAATAATGATGATTGTTCCTGCTGAAAAGTTCTTTAGAATTACTATATATTTGAGTCTTTTAAATTGAAATACCTAATAAGGCAGCAGTGAAATTTTCTTCTGCCCCAGACATCTGACACCCACTCTACACCACTGAATAGTGTAAACTGCACTGCCTTATATAACTTAAAATTCATTTTGGTGTATTAT